TTTTGTGTGAAATGTTTTGTCCTTTAGGACTTCATCAGACTAAAGTAATGTTTATACTGATGTGACTACACATGCAGCATTACCTTTTCTTCATGTACTTTTGTAACTCCATTAACATAAACATCACTTTAATCTGATGAAGTCCCAAAAGATCAAATACATCTCACAAAAACTTTCTCCATTAATTTTAGCCGTTAACAATATAATTTTAAAAAATCTAGATGACAGGCTTTAACGGAAGTTAGATTTCATTGAAAAATGCATCCCTTCCCACGACCCAAACGTAGCAATAACTGATACATTAAATTATAGACATATTGAAAACCCAGCCCTGTCTAGAAAAAATAGATTTATCTGTGACCTTGGAAACATGAATTTTGTTTTAGCTGTGTATTTAAAACCCAGTAATTTTAAAAGTTACTCCAAAATTCGCTTGAGGATGAAATGGAACTAATGTCTTTAATTTAATCACAAAATTAAAATCGTGGCCTTTTAGCTTCCATTTTTGAAACATGGTTAGAACTGTGTAGCGAAAAAAAAACATATTTTAAATCAATTAATTTATAATATATATATATATATATATATATTAAAAAATGGTATATAATGGCAATACCACAAATGTGTCTCCTTGGGCAATGTTAAACTGTTGAGCCCTCTTTTAAATTAAATATTACGTACAGTGGAATTATACTCCATTTGTTCTCATTTTACCTGCATGTGTGTATATATATATATATATATATATATATATATATATTTACACTGTAAATGCTTGAATTTGCACCCAATGGAGTTGGGGAAGAGTTATTTAAAATATTAGTCATTTTCATCTTTTATTTATACAATGATAAGAACTGCACTGCATGAAGTAACATAACAACAAAAAAATATAACCTGTCACTTTTAACACAAATATAATTTTGTTAAATTATTCAATGTCCTTCAATATCATGTTCATCATACTCAGCATCCTCATCAACATTTTTTGTTTCTCAGCTGTATTCATTCAGCCTGAGAAGAGCACTTATTTCAAATTCCTTGTGAAAAGAGTGCACAAAATTGAGCATTTACAGTATATATAGTGGATAAGTGAATGGCAAAATAAAAAGAACCAAAACAAAACAAACTTCTTAGTGACCTGTTTCATTCCAAGAAGGTATTTCTCCAGACAAATAAAAATTTTATTGATAGAATCAGGCTTACACATAAAAATGGGGCAAATGATAGGAATGGGGGATGATTACAACAAATGTCTGTTACAGTTTACATCATAATATTATAGAGACACTCACCCTTTAAATTTTAATATCTGACATATCTAGATGTAAACTTAGCTTCCCTTAACACTACAATCTTATTCTTTTTAAGGATCAGTCATTTTCTATCCTCCTTATCTTCATAATCGTAACTTCCTACCACATCATCTTTCATCCATATCATTCACTAGAACCATTTTAACTATAACCCTCTACATTTATTGGCTCTTGAGCCTTGTATATAAAAATGAAACAAAAAAAGGAGATTTGTTGGATGTTCCTGGATGTAAATTTACTACAGAGGATTCCAGAATTAGATAAAAAGTTAAATATCTAGGTACAGTGGATGTCAAAATTTAAAGTTATGCATTTTTGTATCTGATATTTCTTGTATTTCTTTCTCCAGCTTTACCCCCACCTTTGATATATAAGACTGATTCCATCAATAAAATGGTTATGGGCCTGAAGATGTTTTTTCTCAGAATGGAACATATCACAATGATAGGGATGAATGGTAAATTTCTTTATCACAAACTTTACGACGATCACTCATCTAAGTTGTCTGAATTCCTTAGATTAACTATTTTTAACTCTGATGAAAAATAAATTAGTCAAAAATTAAAATAGATCAATTAAATTAAAATAGGTTAAAAAAAATGAAAATAATAAATGAAGAATAAAGAATTGTAGAGAGTGTTATAGTAGAAGGGAGATAACTAAAATTTAGCTTTCTTTAAGCAATATTACAAAGTATTTAAACATGTCTTTGAAGATAGCATAAATGGAAATTATTTTTATAAAAAGAAAAAGAAAAGAAAAATTTAAAACTTTATTAGTTTTTTGTATTTTAAAAATTTTTTTGTTTATGTGTCACTGAGCTTTCAAAGCTGTTACTGACTGAAAATTTGAATAGGAGTAGATAGGTTTGCCTATCACCTAGTTGACACTCCTCCTTTGAACTGGATTAAAGGCTTATCCTTTCTTTTCTGTTTAGGATTAGGTTTCCAGTTCTTTCTAAAGTCTATTTCACTTCTATACTTCTAACGTCTCTGTTTGAACTTTGAAATTTTATTTACTAATTTTTTTTCTCTCCTCAATTGGAGCAGGTAGGTTTGTCTATTATCTGGTTCACACTCTTCCCTGGTCTTTTGAACAGGAGTAGAGGTTTACCCCTTGTTCTCTGTTTAGGATCAGGTTTCTGGTTCCTTCTAAAAAATTTGAATTCTCTTTCACTCCCAGTCGTCCCTTATGTCTTAGTGGCATTATCACCTTTCCTGGGGTGACTTGATTAAAAGAAAATAGTATTATGCTAAAAATAAAATAACCATAAAATTTGTAAAAAAGATTTTTATTTAAATCTTGATCATAAAAATAATCTTAAAATCTGTTCAGCATAGCAAGGAAATGTTTAAATATTTTGATTTATCTAAATTTTTACTTCCTTGCATTAATTTTTTTACCTTCTTCCATTAAATTTTTACCATCTCCCATTAAATTTTTTTTTAAATTTATTATCTATATTTTTTTTATTTTATTAAATATTTTTTCTTACAAATAAACATCATGTTTCTCTGTATATGTATTCATTTTTTTAATCTTATGTTTATTTATTTATGCCAACCAAAATGCATTCTGTTTGGTTGTTAGTTCTAAATTAGACACTAAGTTAAAGTTAAAATAATTCCTCAAAAGACATTAATCCTAATGTGATATAAATTAGCAAAGTAAATGGTGTGTGCAAAAGTGACCATAGATTTTTTATTAATAAAAAAGAATGTTACTATTGTTTCTCAAGTTTTGGACTTGATACTAATTGTTATGAATTTTGAATGCAATTCAAAATAGCAGGAAGACAAGACAGCAATAACCTTTAGAAAAGCTTTATTCAACAAAAAAACATGGAGCAGAACAATGCTCTCAGTGTCTCTCCACATAATGTTGCTCTCTCCAGAATACAGCACAATTTATAAAGAAAAATAATGTAAACATACAAGAAATTTACATACAAAACATTAGTTTACATAAAGAAGTATTTGCATAACATAAAAGAATAATGTTCATTTACATAACACTAATTGTATAATAAAAACTTATAAAATAAGTCAAAGAAATACTTATTAAAAATTAATAATACTTCATCTGAGAAATTCATCAACTATTATATCTAATACTGCTTTTTTTTGTAAACAAACGTGACTGTGCATTGGGCATTGAAAAAAATAATGAAAGCTATATAGATTTGAAATTTTGGTATCCTATTCTAGCATAATTATTTATTTTTTGCATTTTACATGCTTAAATATCTTTGACTTGTTTCTTTCTATCATTAATCTCATATGTTGAAAAGATATTTCTTTTTTTTTTTATTAAGGCAGAGTCTGCCTACTTTTTATTTACATAGCTTTCAGTTAGTCATAACATTCCTTTGTAAATGGTGTGATATGAATGATATTTTATGTGCTTCTGAATGAAATCTTGCAAAACTTTAACATTATCACTGGTCATGTGTTACAAGAATATATGTTTGTATGAAGACTGAAATAAATGTGAAATGTTTATAATTTGATTTTGACCTGAGATAACATTGTTGGGTAGAGCTTGTGTATATTGTTTTGAAGCCAGTGATACATTTACTGCTCATCATTCCATCATTTTTCTATTTTAAACTATCAGACAGTCAGTCTACAGTCAAGTCTGTCAACCTCTGCTTGATAAATTGATCTTAATTTCCCCATTTGCTCCTGGCAAGTGTGTACACACTTGACTAAACAGACGACCATTTTGTTTTTTAGAGAGCCATCTTGAATTTTGACTGAAATGGAAAAAATATTAAAATTCACTCCTTTTATTTTGTGATTTTTAACACTGTGACATTTTGCCAGCACTGATTTCTGGCAACAGATTTTTTTCTGAATAAAATATTTTTATTTTATTGCAGTTGAGGCATTTATTTGAATTTTTTTTCTTTTTATTTCTTTCTTTGTGTATCATGAACTATCAAACTTCTCAAGATAAGTTTTATAATGTCTTGAAATTATTATTTTTTCTCATGAAACATTGAATCTCTTTAAAACTGTACCCAAATATCAAATATGGGAATGTTGCCTCTTATTTGGAACAGATGGAGAATTTGAATCAGTTCGGAACTTTAATCAGAAAATCTGCCACTGTGTTGATAAATTATATATATTTTATTCAATGACATGCCTTATGAATGAATCTGTTGGCTTTCTCTATTGCAGTTTTTATTTTTTGTAATTTAATAAATTCTTTAAAAAAGATGTCTTTTTTGTTCTTGTAATTTGTTGAAAATTTTATCACATTAAAACAAACATTTACGCAGAATACATTTTAATTTCAGATCATATCTATTGATTTTAAAATAAAAGATAAAAATAACTCTGTAAGCAGACTTGTAGATAACTAATATTCTATTATCATGTGTTGATATTTCAGTTTTTATTTACATCTTTGTCAGCAACATTTCTTTTTTGTAATCAAATCAACTTTGTGATATTTTTCTGATTTCATCTTTTTAAATTATTACAAGTGTTAAAGTAGGATGAAAATCCAAGAGAATGGTAAAAATATAATAGTATTTGAAAAACTTATATTTTAACAAACATGTTTCTCCAGTGAAGCAGCATCATTAAAAAGAAATAATTTCTGAATCTACATTAGCTAAATAGAACGTGATTGACATTAAGCCATATCACATTGAAACACCACCTGCACATTGAGGCTTACAACATCTGATATTCTCAAGTGGTCACCCATCAAAGTACTGGCCAGGCTCGGCATTGCTTAACTTTGGTGACCATACAGGAACTAGTGTTTCAATGTGATATGGCCATAAGCCTTTCTGGCTTTAAATAACCTACAAAAGGTTGATAAGTCATAAAAAAACAAATCACTTTAAGCAGTTAAATGCTTCATTTTATTTTTATAGAAATTAGATTTTGACTAATTTCAACTCAGTTTTTAGTTTTATTTATTGTAACATTTATGTACCCCACCAACCATTGTTTATTTACCTGCCCATTGTTTCATTAAAAAAAATATATGAAAATGAAAGGGACTTAACAATAAACTCACCGCACATCAGCTTCAGTCCCTTTTCCACCATAGCTTCTCTGTGCCTTTTCTATAAATACTTGTTCTGATGAACTTTCCTCTATAGTACCTTGACTCAATGAATTTAAGTGCAATACTAGCCTGGCAGCAAGGTCTCATCATTTTACAGCTGAAATGGCTAGATGTTACCGTAAGTTCTATGCTAACAGTTTCTTCTCTCGCACTTCTTGCTTGTGGAATTCTCTTTCAGCTTTTTATTTACCAGTCAAATTTGATCTTCAAAAATTTAAATACAATATCAATTGTTATCTTCTTGCTTATTATTCTACTTAACAATAGTTTTTTTTCATATTCTCTAATACTCAGTAACCTTTTTAAAAATATATATATATGAAAGATTAAAAAGAAAAAGATATATATATAGACTGAGAATAAATATACAGGTTAACCCCTTCCCTAGCATTGATATATATATATATATATACCTTTCTCTATATTTACAGATTCTTAAACCTAAAATAGAATCTGCAATGTCACTGGTCCTGACCTGGCATCTCAGCTCCAGTCCCTTTTCCGCCGCCATAACGTAGCTTCCCTGTGCCTTTTCTATAAATACTTTCATGGTAATTGTTCTGAGGAACTTTCCTCTGTAGTACATCAATTCAATGAATTTAAGTTCAGTACTAGATTGGCAGCAAGGTCTCATCATTTTACAGCTGAAATGGCTAGATGTAACCATAAATTCTATGCTAACAGTTTCTTCTATTGCACTTCACAGTTGTGGAACTCTCTTCCAGCTTCTTGCTTCCCAGTCAACTTTGATATTCAAAAATTTAAATGAAATAGCAATCATTATGTACTGTCTTCTTAATTCTTGTTCTTTTGTTGTTCTCTCTCCTTAATATTAATTTTTCTCATATTCTCTAACACTCAGTAACATGTTGCATCTTTATGCCTTTATTGCTTTATTGCCTTGTCTGGGAGGAAATGATAAAAAAAAAACAAACTTGTAAGCGACCAGAATCTTCATAATTAATATTTTGACTGTAAAAATGCTATTTCAGTGAAAAATGAATATATTTTACTCAGAGGAAGATGCATTGAAAGTGTCATAATAGTCCCTTAGAATTAATATATGACTGAGTTATTTCAGTTTATTAGTTGATCTTACTAAATTAGTACTGATATTAGTATATATCAGAAGTATTTTTTATTGTATTTACAGACCATCAATTCAACTATAATAATTGTGGTAGAAGAGGATAGCAGGTGAGGCAGAATGATTAAAAGACAATCAAAGATTTAGAAACAATTTCAAAAAATTCATATGCCAAAAATAAATATGATTTAAAATATTATTATTATTTATATATAATTGCATGCACAAGTCCCAGTATAAATAGTTATAAATAATTATTGACTTAGTGACTTAGCATTGTGATATTTTTGCATTATATCAAACATTAAAAATGTAGTAACTAGTCTTGGCAAATTGGAGGAGAGAGTTATCAATGATAATGTTCTGACTTCAAATCCATGGTTATCTCCCTTTAACTCTCTATTTTTTTTTTATCTTTACATGTACTTTTTATCACAAAGTTTGGTGAGGCACAAGCAAATTTTCATTCCAAAATAGTGGCTAAGAGAAAAATGTTTGGAAACCACTGCTTTAGATTAATAATACCTCATCTAATACCATTATATAGTAAAGTTAAATGTAAATGGAGGGGTTTTATATGCTATCAAATATGACAGATTGTAAAAAATTCTACAGTAATTATAGTAGAAAAAGATTTTGGAGAGCATTACACTTTGTTGGCACTCTTTTTCCTTATCATCATGTTGTAGTTATTGTTGATCAACTATCACAAGGTTGCATGGTAGCTTGCTCAACAAGAATCCTCCACTTGATCCAGTCATTGGCCAGTACCAGGGTCTAGGAAAAATATTTTCTGATCCATGTCTTGGAGAAGCTTTTTGATTTGGTTATGTGCCCAAAGCACTTCAGTTTCCTCTTCTTTAAGGTGGCCAACACATCTTTATAGTCATTTATCTGATGATTCACTTTTCTGTGAACCACATCATGATGCAGTCAGAAATATCAAGTAAACATCTGAAATATATCGTCTCTGCAGATTGAATCCACATTTGGAGTCTGCTTAGAGTCCATGAATTATATAGAATTGCATACAGGAGAACTGACAAGACAAGGACATGTAACAATCTCAGTTTATTTTTGAAGGTGAGCTTTTTTCTTTCCTGAGAGGTTTCAACCATGCCATTGCCACTGTTTGTCAGCTCAATTCTCACATTGACTTCTGGCTCAGATCCAATATGGCTGATGATTGCATCAAGGTATTTGAATTGTTTCCCTCTCACCAGTTACTGACCACTAACTATAATTAGTGCCCCGATGAGTTCCTCTATTTCATATCAGCTTTAATTTCTCAGCGGTGATTTCCATGCAATATGTGGATGTTATTTTGTCCAGACACCTCACCAGTTTAGCCAGTACCCTTCACTTCCAGCGAGTTTGTTGATGTCATCAGCAAACTTGAAGTTTGAAATCATTCCTCCTCCAATGTGCTGATATGATTTTCAAAGGCATCTGTCATTATTTTTTTTCACAAAGATACTAAAAAGTATAAAGGACATGCCAATTGATGTGTAAAATCAGTCCCCAACTCCTCCCTGGGCAAGAATCCCACTGTTGGCATGTTGGTATAGCTGTTGAATTGTTTCAATCAGCTTATGGTTGATATTATATTTCTTCATAGTAGCCCATGGTGCCTTGTGCCACACAGTTGAATGCCATTTTAAGTCTATGATTACGTGGAAAATATCCTTTTTTGTATATTACATGAAAAATATCCTCTTTTGTATATGTCACTGCCTTGGATACTCTCCTACCTTTTTTGTATATTGGGATTATAAATCTTATTTTACATAGTTATTCATCAGCTTTATTACCAAATTGTATTATTGTTGGAGCATGTTTATATTGATTTTAGGACTAATATCATTTTGTTATTACTGCAAAGACAAGTAAATATTCTATTTTGTTATTTTTGAAAGGTAGGCTTTAGACAGTGTTGTCAGGTGTGTAAATTTAAATTAAGGAACTCGGATAAGTAATGGAAAGTGAATGCTTTATTCTGATTACTTTGTTCTCTATGTGTGTCTCCAATAATAAATGGCTGCTTGGCACTTCCTGGTAAGATCGTCCCTAAGTAGGAGAGTATCCAAGGCAGTGATATACAGAGGTCTGTTGATGCCTGGAGCCAACTCTTTGATTGTATGCCCCTAAAACTCAAGTAGTGTGGCATGTAGGGCCTCATACTGAGAAATGTGAGAAAGGAAGACATTTCAAATATGTAAAAACAGACGAAACATGAAATAAACACTTTATAGAAATTAAATATAAACTAAATTTTTATTTCTCTCTTTGATTGGATGCCGTCGCATCTTCTGCACACACTTCAGCACGCTACTGATCCAAGGGGAGCAACTCGTGAAGATTTACAAGGTGTACGCAGAAAATTTTCCATTCAACCCAATTTTTTATTTTTGAATCTTAGTGTTTGTTAAAAAGGATATTATTTTGTAGTTAATCTCCCCTCCCAGTCAAGAATTGAATTTTCTGATTGAAAAACTTCCAAATACAGAAATATAGTGACTGTTTGGATTTCTTGAAAATCAAAATCTTATTGGTCTCTATCATGGTTGACAATATATAGGTAACAGCTTTTAACCACTATCTGCTTTGATAAATAAATGATTGAAGCATGGTTTGCCCACCAGTTAGTCATTCATCCACTATTTATTTCCTGTTAATCTATCACATACTGCCAGTGACAAGACCATTGTTAAAATAACTGGTGATGTAACAATACAGAGAGAAGTGGTTTCATGCCTTTTTCATTAGTATTAGTGTGAAGGGAAAAGTACCTCAGTTGAAATTTGAACCGTGTTTATTTCATTTTCTGTGCTGGTAACCATTAGGAAAATGGAATTACCACAGTTCACATTTCAGCTGAGGTAGTTTTCAATTCCCACTAATGCTAATGGAAAGGGCATGAATCCATTTCTCCCTGGATTGTCTTATCACCAGTGGCAGATCTACGATGAGACTAATGAAATTTAAATGAGTGAATTTTTCAACAAAATCAATGTCTTTTGTTTTTTTAAGGGTTTGTTATTAAAATAAGGCCATTTTAATGATAGAATCATAATCCAATGAGTTGAAGTAGCTAATGTTAGTCTTAGAATATGATCTAATACCTATTTTATATGGTTTCAAAATTCTCCTGTAATTTAATCAAATTTCAAAGTTTTCTTGGGGGCTTGCAGTATCAAAATTTCCAGCTGTATAGGCATTTTGATCTCACCAGATTCTATTTATAGCCTACGTTTTAGCACTTGGATCCTAGAATCTATTGTTGCTGGTTGTGAAGGGGCCCTCATATCTGTTCGAGCTACAGGGTCCCAAAAATGTAAGTCCACCACTGTTTATCGCTAGATATTTTGCAAAGGTCTTGCCAGTGGCAGTACATGAATTATCTCCCAAATCTTAATGATGTAATAAATGGCACAAAATATTTTGAATTTTACTGCTGAGAAGGGTTTCAAGATCTAAACTGACTGCAGTTGGGATCATGATCCTTTCATTAGATGAAATGTGCTTTGCCAGGGCTACATATGGTTTTGTATTTGGTGTTGTCCTCCTAGACTGGTTGCCATCCAAGACTAAAGAGCCCAGTCTGCTCTACTATTTAACCCATA